GTTCTTAGATTTTTTTAGAACTTTGTTTGGATTTTTAAGGAAAATCAAAGCAAAATAATACTTAAATAAAATGCGCTTGAGTTCGCAGGGCACGGAAGTTGGTGTACGGTAAGCGGGTTACTACTGTATGAGGTCCAGGGAGCTCCAATCATAAGTTTTTTTTGTGATTATTAATCATCGTTAAGTTGAAGAATAAAAATTTAAGTTATAAGGAAGAAGCTCATGAGTTTACTAATTGAAAAACATATTTTTAGCGACAATATCTAATATTTTTGTATGCACCCAGGAAAACTTTTTGGTTTACATACACATCTAGTTATCATTTGTCTTATTGTTAAAGAATCCCAATTCATATGGAAAAAAAGTGTAAGTATTTCCACTCTGACAGAAAATAATTTTGTCAGTCAGAAAGAATTTGATAAGTCAATCTCAAAAAAATACAAAAAAATAAATAAATAAAGAATCAATGCAGCCTCAGTAGCCAATACAAAAGTGCCCAGTTTTTATGACTACGCTGAGAATCATCCCACTTGATAGTTATACTTATAAAATACATCCTTATGCTCACTAAGTATAAATATGACATATCTAAAAAAAATTGTCAGATGGCGAGTATCAATTCCTGGCTGAGACTAAAACTCGCTTGAGTTTGTCATTGTGCACTATCATAGTTGACAATTAGATACAAGCGTTAGTTAAATCTGTAGTGAGAAATATACGCATTCAAAATCATTTAATCGTGAAAAAGAAACAGCAACAGCAATATATTGACAGCAGCCATGGTGTTGGTGTTCGTGATGAAAGTACCTAGTAGCAACGATGCGCGAAACCCAACAATGGAAAATAGCAGATAAAGCACCTTTGTAAGAAGGACTATAGGATACTGTAATACTCAGTTTGCCAGAGCGAGATGGACCTGTGGTACAAAAGCCAGGAGTGTCTGTGAATTTTAAAAGCGAGTGAAAGTGCTACGTTCGACCACTGCTGCTTGTGTTGTATTGTGCTGCCATTGATGCCACAGACTTCCATTCAAGTGATTGCATTAGCGGCTTAACATGCACACGTACGCGTGCACCACCCTCTTTTGCAAGCGTAGCAGAATACGGTGGTGACAGCGGCCGAGGTAGAAAGGAGAAAACGAGAGGGAGACAGATTAAACGTACATACAGCACACGTGTGGATGTGCGTACGTCCAGCATCCACAGCAGTCGCATATTCGCGGTGCACACCTTTCAGAGTAAGGGGTGGCCAACACTTCGCAACCTACCAGTCGTGGGCAACACCTTTATTTTTTTTATCCCGGCTGATGTTGCTACTGCTGCTGCTGTTGTTGTGTTAGTGTGACCAGTAAAGATAGGGGAACTGAATTCAACTGATGAATTCACTGCGCGTAGTGATTGAGCAAAGTTAGATTTGGGTGTATATGCGCAGACGGTACGTGGGTGGGAGTCACATGCGGCACTTTTCTGTCAGCCGAGCGATTTCACGCGCGTTACTCATAGCTAGGGGCTATAGTATGTAGACAGGTAAGGGGAGCACGTATACAGTATATAAGCAGGGTTTATTTTGGCTCGTCTTTTGGCTGCTGCGATAACGATTACCCTCGAGTAAAGGGAGATGTACACTTTCCGTATAGCTTTTTTTTTTTTTTTATAAAGGTTCTAACCTCAAGAGAGGCATAAACACTAATTTTATTCAACAAATTTACAATACACAGTATATAACATACTCTACGCAACGTAGAAAATACATTAATGAACCTAGAATACAGAATGACAGGACAATGCGCCAATAAAAAACGTGCTGTTACAATTTTGGATAGAAAAATGAGAAAAGGCACTCAACATAAACACGTCAATTCCAAGTTCTAAAATGACTACACTTACAACACTATTCCTTGAACGGTACTACAAACCAGATCCATATACCACTGCTTATATTATATTTGTATATATATATATATATATATATGTATGTATATGTATACACATGTACATTTTTTTTCTCTTTTTTTTCCAACAATTACACACTAATGTTACATACGTTAAGAAACTTAGTAATAATCAGGCACGCAGGAATATTAGGTTCCGCTATGAGACTTTCTACATTGAGCGGAGGACGAATGTTAATCACTTTAAGGTCTCTTATCATATATAGTCATATATATAGAATATAGATCACAGTTCCATAAAACATGGTTAAGGGATTGTTCCTCATAACCGCACTTACACCTAGGATCACTGATAATACATTTACGAAATAGACTCTCAGCTATGCTATGATGGTTTGATCTCATTCTATTAATAGTGACTATGCACTGTCGTGACAAACCTTTACCGTGGAACCAAGGCTTTTTCCGGGGAGAGTGATAAAACTCAAAATATGTTTTACCCTTGTGCCGGCTCTCGTGAATGTTATTGTTTGCGGACATAATATAACAGGACTGTTTAAAGTGATGGAATAAGTCCGTGTAGTTTATAAGTAATATTGCAGGAGAAATTACAGAGGTTGCCGATTTGGCTAAGGAATCTACAAAATCATTATTTGAAATGCGTGAGTGGGAGGGAATCCATACAAGTTTTACAAAATTGTTAGGATATTTAGTTTTATATGACAGATATTTACATTTAATGTTAAAAATATTATAATTGGCCGAGATGTTATAAGATGGAGAAGAGAGGCTAGAAATTGCACTAAGGGAATCGCTAAAGATGATAAAATTACGATTAGAAAATGATAATAGTAGATCAAAGGCTGCTGAAATAGCCACAATTTCTGCCAAAAAAATGGAAGCATAATGTGGTAGACTTGTTGAAAATTGGCACTTCAAGGTGGGGCAGAATACAGCTGAGCCTACAGCGGTGGCCCCATGGATCTTACTGCCATCAGTGAAAATTGGGATAGCATCTAGCTCATTGGTCAGTTCGGAGATTAGCAGATCTGGGGAGTTAGAGGAGTAAAGACGTTAACCAAAGTACATATCTGCAGGTATACTGGAATGAATAGAATGGAAATCATAATTATATATACCGAAGTGCTGTTGCAGATAAATAGAATAATTGTGAGTGGGGAAGGAGTTGATGCAAGATATAAAAAGTCTCTTAGAACAAAAATTACTATAATTGGTTACATAATGCACGAGCAGAGTAAACGTTTCTGAAGACGAGTTGCTAGAGATCTTCGCTAGATAACATTTACATAGAAATTCAGTGCGAGTTTTAAGAGACATCATCTTGGATTCTTCAAGAAGAATATTTGTAGGGCTACTAGCTCGAAATCCTGAGGCAAATCTAATTGCCGAATATTTGATTTTTTCCAATTTATTTCTTAGGTTAACATTATTGGGATAGTAAATAAAGCATGCGTATTCTATAATAGAGCGGATAAAGCTTTTATAAATAATAATTAGCGTTTCAGGGTGGGCACCCCACCAGACACCGCGAGGAAACCGGATGATGTTTAGCGCAGCGCAACATCTGCCTTGAACATAAGAAATATGCTTCTTGAAAAGAAATTAGTAATCCAAAATGATGCCTAAAAATTTGACATTGTAACAAGAGGAGATCTCGAGATTATTAAGCCAGATAGACGTGGAACCTGGTTTAACGCTTCTTTTGTTTATATTAAAAAATTTGGTTTTAGGAAGAGATAAATTGAGACCAATTTGAAGAGCGTTGAAATCAATGGTTAACAGAGCATTTTGGAGAAGAGTTAAATTATTATTGTTTTCAGACGACTTGACATAAAGAGCGATGTCATCAGCAAAAATAGAAATTTTATTTGGGGGGGTATGTTCGTTAACAAGGAGCAAGAATATAACGAATACAGCAAGGGACTAAGGACGGAACCTTGAGGTACCCCTTTGTGAGCAATAACAAAGGAGTCATAAAGGTCTGTAAAAATGAAGCGTTCAAAGGTAATAAATTTAACAAAATGAAGAACCTGTGGGGAACATCCCAGATGCGCCAGTTTATCTAATAGAATATTCACGTTAACATTATCAAAAGCGCCCTCAATATCTAAAAAAAACAGCAAACACATCTTGCTTGTCCAGAAAGGCAGTGTCAACCGTAAGAGCAAGGTTTAAAAGATTTTCAAGACAAGAGTTACCACGTCTGAAATCGTGCTGAGAGGCAGGTAACCAGTGATTAACCTCAGAATACCATTAAAGTCAATTTTTGATAAGGGTTTCCATAAGTTTACAAAAGCAGGATGAAAGTGAGATGGGCCTTGAGCCACCACTGTTCGGCTTCTTGATAAACTGAACAAAGAAATTCTTCCAGGACTCAGGGTAGGTGCTGGAAGTATACATTTCGTTAAAGATGTCTAGTAAGATGTGAAGGAATTTATTAGACAATTTTTAATAGCCTCAAAACTAATACCGTCCATGCCAGGGGCTGACTTGGTATTCTTTTGAAGAAGAGCAACATTGAGTTCTGCAAAAGAGAAAGGTGCGTCAAGGAACTCATTAGCGTGACAAGGAGGAAAAACAGCTGGGTCAGTACGAGCCCAAGGTGGGCAGATTTTTTTAAGGGCTGTCAAATCTGAGCCATTGAAGCACGGGTTCTCGGGAACATGCGAAGGTTTGGGTTTCACCCATGCATTTTTGAAAATACGGCACTTATTCCAAACATATGACATGCTAGAGCGAAAGTTAAGGGATTCAGCAAAATTAATAAAAGAAGCTTTCTTTTTGCCTCTAAATAACTTTTTAGCTTCAGCGCAGCGTTTTTTATAGAGGATCAGATCATTGGGGTCGCAAGAGGAAAAAATTTTTTGTAAGCTGCAGTACATAATCTTCTCGCCTGGTCACAGTCTTGGTCCCACCATGGAACGGGGTTGGAATGATTACGTTTAGAGATATTTTTTCCAGATGGGGTACACCGTTTAATAGCATTTGAGAAAAATTCATAAAAAAAAATGAATTTATCAACTGGGGACAGACTATCAAAACTGTCATCATCGAACTGGAGGATTTCATTTTTCATAAAGATTTCAACCTAATTCCAATCTGTACGAACAGAACTGATTTTAAATGATCTTTTTACATGGACGTATTTAGCCGTATTAACTTCGAAGCAAATAGGAAAGTGGTCAGATCCAAACTTATCCTCACCAACTTGATAACTAATAGAAGAACTCAAGTTCTGTGATGATAATATAAGGTCTAAGTTAGAAAAATAGTTTCTACGTTCATCGGAATAGGTTTTAGTATCAAAATTGTGCAAAATAAGATCATGAGATTTGAAGGCATTTTCAAAATATATACCATTGCTATCTGTGTCCTCACAGTTCCAAGAAATATTGTGTGCGTTAAAATCGCCAACTAAAATAGAATAATGAGAGGAATCAATATTTTGCACAATTTCATCTCAGAAACTCTGTGGGAGAGTATTTCCCGGAGCTCTATAACAAAAGAAAATATCAAGTGGTGGGGATAGATTAGTTACATTGATACCACACAGTTTAACAGTATCGTCTGTAGAGAATGGTAGTTTTCCTACGAGTTTGAAAAGTCTCTGTTTGCGAACCGAGAGATTTGCGGCCCGAGCCGAAGGCGAGGGACGTAACGAGGTTCGTAAAGGAGACTTTTCGAACNATACCACACAGTTCAACAGTATCGTCTGTAGAGAAAGTAACTATTTCTTTATATTTAATACTGTTGCGAATAAAGACGACAATGCCTCCACCCGCAGCATAAGTACGGTGGCATCTGTATATACAATATCCTGGAAGGTGAAAAACATTGTTATCCTTAAGAAAAGATTCCACACAGACGATAATGTCAAATCCAATAGAGATTTTTTTGAACTCTAATATTTTAGTTAAAAGACTTCTGATGTTCCAATGTAATATTTTTAAAGAGTATTCAGTAGTATACGGGTTATTAATCACGGTATTATCCATAATAAACTTGAATAGTATAAATAAAGATATCGAGATAATAAACTTTTTTTTTTTTTATCTATTTATAAGATCTAAAATTTATAAAAACCAGAATTTCCGACTTCATCTTCATCTTCGCCTGAATGTGAGAGAGATCCGAGTAATTGACTGTATTAAACCTTGATGCAAGTAATTTAGCCACATGTAAGTCATATCTGGAGTTGAAATCATCGGGAGCATGAACCTGGTGTCCTGATGAAGGCTGAGAGTAGGATGTACTAGTAGAGCTGTTACGCCGAGGGCTGGACTGCAAGTTATAACTAGGCAGATTGCGATGATTAGTAAACGAGGCTGATAAGTTATCGTTAAACGACCCAGAACGATGATTGAAACTCTTGTTATTAGGCACCGATGAGCCCTTCGCGCGGGCGTCTGCAGCTCTAGTTTTGAATTGAGCATTTGATGCGTAGTCCTTGCCTTGGGGCATAAAATTATTGTATGAAGACTTGCGATTATTCTGTTGACTAAGGTGATTGTTTGTACGACGCTTCGGTTTATTGAGTAATGCCTGAGAAAAAGAATAGGGGACCTCGTCGGAGTCCACGAATTGCTCTTGAACCAGTGGTTGAAAACGGTTCTGTAGAGAGAAAGGCTGTTCGTTATTTAGACTAGGAAAAGCTTCTTTAGAGGCAATAACATTATTAGACCGATTAGTTCCAAAAACTATTTTCCTCGCGTCCTCATGAGGTTTATTTTCTAGAGCCATAACCCTGAGAATGGCACGTTCTTTGATCATGGTTGGACATGATGCGTCCAAGGTACGATGAGGGCTACCACAAGTAGCACATTTCAACACTTCAAGTTTACACGCGTTCTCATGCTTATTTTCACCACATTTTCCACACATCGGTGAGGATTTACAGACTTTAGACATATGCCCAGGCAAAAAACAGGAGTAACATATTCTAGGTGTAGAGATGAACGGTTGAACCTCATGAGCAATATGGTACATGAACACATATTGAGGAAGCTCTTGCCCATGAAATGTCACAATTATGGACTTCGTTGGAATATACTTAGGAAGAGTAGGATCACTGTCTGCTTTAGGATTTTTTCTTGTAATTCTTCTGACACTATGTATTTTTATACTAGACTTTAAGTCTTGTAGGATGTCTTTTTCTTCAACATCCAGGTCGACACCTCTAATAATGCCCTTCCTTACAAGCCAATGAAATGGAATAAATATATCACAGTCCTTATCCAGAATTTCCTGATCTGTTAGTACATTATTAGCGTCTTCCCGAGAGTTGAAAATAACCTCAATTTTATTAGAGGACTTAAGGAAAATCTGATTGACACTATACTTTTTCGAAATAGATTTACTGATAGAGTACCTGTTCAAACTTTTGAAGGCACGTTGACCTTGAACTTTCTTGCTCTGGATAATAACTCCTAATGGACCTTTATCGTCAGAAGCGTATGTTGAGATGACTGCTGAGCGAGATTGTTTGTCAAAATTTACTTCTCGAGCTTCTTGAGATGGTACTAAATTAACTTGCTCAGTCGTTTGATTAATGTTGCTCGAGTTATTTAGCATATAGGCACGAGATGATTTAGGCTGTTTCTCGTCATCACGAGCATCCTCCATACTAGAGACTGACAGAATTCTCTTCCTGTCTTTCTTGAATTGCACTGACTGATCAACAAGATCATTTGTTTCCATTGGGGCAACCTCTAATACCTTAGAGGCCATAGTTATTAACAAGTGCTACCTGGATAACCGGGAGCACGTGAAAAAAGAACAACACCAGTCAAACAGACACTACGGCACCGTTAACCTAAACATGCTGTGGTACACGCGAACAAAGGAGAAGCAGCGAGTAACGACCCGTGGGTAACACTTTCAGTACAAAAGACTTCAAATTGCTACAGGACTAATCTTGGAGGCCTACGACTCAAATAAATATAAGTTTTTGCACCTTAAGCACTTAGATAAATTGAAGAGCAAAAAGAGCAAGCGTGCGCTACTTGAAAGAGTCCATCTATATCTTTCCGTATAGCTTCTGCATACGTACATATATATATATGAAAAAATTTTTTGTAAGCTGCAGTACATAATCTTCTCGCCTGGTCACAGTCTTGGTCCCACCATGGAACGGGGTTGGAATGATTACGTTTAGAGATCCCCTTTCCAGATGGGGTACATCGTTTAATAGCATTTAAGAAAAATTCATAAAAAAAAAATGAATTTATCAACTGGGGACAGACTATCAAAACTNATTTTTTGCGTTAGCAATTACATTTTTTTTTCTTAAAAAATATTTTTGAAAAAAAACTAAGCCTTATTTTACTCATTCTAAAATCTTCTAAATATCCTGTCACAACTGGAATAGTTCAGTTGTTTAATACAAAATATTTTGAAGATCATTTTAGTTTTTCTTTTCCCATTTATTCATACTGATTAGGTACTCTTTAATACAACAGTTTTTCCATCACAGTTATATAGACTTTAGACTTTCAGTATACTTACATTAATAAATATTACTGTGGTTAAAATAATTTTTTCCGTTTAATTAAAATCGATATACTCGTAGTTATAAAGTTTTTTTATTAGTTATAAATAGAAGACAAGAGGTACAAAGACATTGTTAGAAAGGGCATGTTTGTAAAAACATATTTGAAAAATTTTTTGCAACTTTTAACTAATTGGCAATCGATTTTGCAATCGGTTTAAACTAATTAAAAAATATTCCATATCAGGCTATATAGACCAGGTTCAGTCAGTGATAAACCGGGAAAAATCATTCGGACCCAATTTTTTTGTGCTTTCTTGTTAAGAATGTGGTAAGTACTGCACATGAAAGTTCATATTGTCACCCAGGAATGTGGTCAGGTATTGCTTAAAACAATTTCGTCAGAATTGGTTTTTTGATCGGAAAAAAATATTTTTATACTCTTTGGCACATTTAAAACAAATAATTAATTTGAATGTACGTATTCAAACTTCACAGTTTCCAAGTAATAAATTCCCTTAGTTTCAAAAAATGCGTTTTTCCAATTTTCAAAGCAACTAAATAAAGACATTTGTATATGTTACAACATACGAACAGTAACTATTCCTGTACAGTCTCCAAAAAAAAAAATGTCAAAAAATGGAGTGGTAAGATTGTTGTTTGCAATAACCGTTCAGGGCGTTTCAGCATGTGCTCTGGTGCGAGCAGTGCCTTTTTAGGCACAAGCCGACCAATCCCAGGCTTGGGGCCCCACCCTTCAAAGGGGCCCCAGCCCCATCACACAAAATAAAAAACCTTTGAAGAAAAAAACAAAAATTTTATTCTGAGACAGATTGTTCTGACTGAACGTTTGTTTGAATACAGAATACGGGCGTCTGCAGCTCTAGTTTTGAATTGAGCATNAAAAAAAACAGCAAACACATCTTGCTTGTCCAGAAAGGCAGTGTCAACCGTAAGAGCAAGGTTTAAAAGATTTTCAAGACAAGAGTTACCACGTCTGAAATCGTGCTGAGAGGCAGGTAACCAGTGATTAACCTCAGAATACCATTAAAGTCAATTTTTTTCAAAATTTCTGATTCAATGTACATCAACGCAAGATTGTTTAATCTTTCATCAAGCATAGTGCTTCTGCGTTCATTTTTTAAATATTTTAAGACAGAAAAAGATCTTTCACCAGTACAGTCAGTAACCATCATACTTAAAAAAGTTTAGGATGGACACTTTAAACAGATTTCTATTTGCTTTATTTTTTTTTATTTTATACATGTAGTGTCCGACCAAAACAAGCTAAAGAAATTTATGGGCCCTGCTACTTCGAAATGATACATAATAATTTTCAGCCTTACGGCCTCTTAGTTTTTATTTTGAGGAAATCAAATCTATAAATCTGCGACCCTGTATCACTGGCTTATCAGGATGGAAAATTAAAAAAAAATAAAAAAATTTATTTTTTACAACATCTTCGACCTCCATAGAATACAAAATCTTAAAATTTGAACACCATAGCGGTCCCTCATTTGATCACACTGACACATCCCTCTGCGGCTCTTCTACAAGTGGATCACTTTCTATATAGGCAAGGTGTCAGAATAGACCTCAACCAACCAATACCTACCAGCCACAGTGTCGATGCTCGTATTCAGCAGGACATGGTGGGAGTGCTACTACTGCACAAGGACGATGCAGTGATGATCTGGCATATGGATGTGACGTGTACTATGTTGAAAACGAATAATCATGGAGGTGTTTCGATTATGTCAGGAGGACCAGGGATAAGTGGACACCAACGGTGGATACGTCCATGTGATAGGTTTGGATATTACTATTAGGACTCCTTATTGCCATGGATCCCTCACCAGCCCATGCATTCTCAAAAATATCACAGCAAAGGCAGCATGCCAAGTCTCGTATGTGCTGTAAAAGTGCAAAGTTCATTGGGGTCTAGTATATGACTTCTTCTATAAGGAGTTTGATTCTTTAGGTCTTTTTGTCGAAACCCTGGCCTTAGTAGAGTGAAAAGAGACACTATTTTTATTGTTCTTCTTAGTGCTTCAGTGTTCACAAGAACCTTATCAGGCTCAGTAAGAATGTAACAGCTATTTATCAAAGCTTGTAGGTGCCACCACTATCGCATGCTACGCATGTCCACATTTGATAAAAAACTAACTTACGCTCATGTTAGCAGGCAGGCCGGCAAGTGTTAGTTGCACGTGCTCTCATGTTAGAGATAAATCAAATCTAAGGTAATATTGACATTTGAAAATATTGTTGCTGGGATTAAGTAAAGGAGTGTATAGATTTGTTCGATTCAGGTGCTCTGAGTGCTCTGAACGGTCTATCGAGGCTTATATCTAAATTTAGTCTTGGCCACAAATATAGATATACACCTCAATGACTCTTGGGTCGCTCGGAGGACTTGAATGAAATAAGTCTTATATAAAAATGGACAGCAAAGTAAGACAAGTTTAAACAAAAAGGTTAGTTACAGTCAAAAATTGATAAAGGGCATCTAATATTTTGACTGTTGTGTATCCAAGAGTAGGTTGGAAACTATGGCAAAATCCTCAAAATTTTTAGGTCATATAAATTTTACTTTACTCACTAATGCATCAATTTTAGCCTTAAATACAGTATATAAAATAACAGATTTGTAAGCGTCAAGCACGTATATTGTATTAATACTTCCAGACAGTCAAAAAACATGTACAAGTGGTATACAAAAACGAGTAATTTTTTGTCAAATCGACGAACGGCATAATAAATTTCGAAGACGTAACAAGGCTGTTTCCAAAAGCATCTAGATTGACATATAATGTTAAGGAGGGAAAAGTTGCGTTAAGTTTTGTGGATGATAACAAATTAGAGATTGATCCTGATGGTGTTTACCATGAACAAATGAGGAATCACTAAAGAATTTAAGTGTACATTTTAGCATACATTACTGTCGCTATAAATAATTGATGGTTTTTTATTTAATTGCAAAGAATCTAGAATAAATAAAAAATATTACTGTATGATCAAAAAAGCTTTATACCAATCAATTAAAAATAGTTTTTTTTAAGGACATTAAAACCAAACAGTTGAAGATAAAAAATTATGAAAATTTTATCAAGATACGTTTTTATTAATGAAGAAGGAAAAATTTTTGAAAGTATTTGATTCTACCATACATAATAATACATACTAATGTGAGTTTAAAAACTTTGAAAATGTTTTTGATTTGTTTAATAGCAGTATGTATCATAAATTGAAAAATGAACCGCCCAGTGAACTACTATTGTAAACGATATTTTGCTTATCAATATTATTACGACTTACTGACGACGATTGCAGGTGGCTTCGATTTTATTTCAACATCACCGTGTAAATCCTATTGACCTAAAACGCAGAGTTAGCATTTTTTTCAAAAATTTGAGATTATTTATTGCTATTGTTAGCTATTGTTAGTAATTAAAAAAAAAAAAATCATCTAAGAAGTGTTAAGAGCCAGTTTACAAAATTTCAGCATGATCTAAGAATTTCAGCAAAAAGTGAGATTTATATCCAAACCCTCATTATCTTACTAATACATACAGCAAAATCGCTATAACCGTTGTAATCGCTAACCATGAGAACTATTGAACCGATTTTGCTGAAACTTTGCATAACAATTCTTGACACTTCCTAGGTGGTTTTAGTAAAGTTTTTATCTTGAAAAATTTGATTTGCTATGTGGCGTCAACATAAAATCGAAGCTACCTGCAACAGAATTAAATAAGTAGTTATAATACGCTGGAGCGCCTCGAAAATTTTTGCAGTCGTCTACCAGCAGTTCATCGAGCTGCGTCTAAAATATAGATGATAGTCGTGCAGCAAGGTATCCCGGTTACCAACGACACTCTTCTCCAATGAACAAGTGGCCTAGGTCTACTTCCACCCTTGAACCTCCAGGATTGACGAGTGCCACTAATATAAATTGTTCTAACCGATAACGTCTCCAGTGGAATACCAGGAGACATGTCTAGCCAGAGCACAACCTGCTCCAACACTTCAGAGTTATGTGGCCATTTAGCCTGGTGCCGTCAGAGAATTTTTTACTACAAAGGTAAGCCAGGGAAAACAGCCCTGAGGAGCACAGGCAGCCACAACGGCTTCCTTCTCAGTAGTCGTCCCAACGGCATACCCACAGAGAAGGTATTCCCCAGGCCCACTTTCCCGACTAACGATGAGCGGTTGGTTATCCCAGGAACGACCTGAAGAC